TCCAGCTTGAACCTCTGGAAGTTCTCTGTCAATGTATGATTGTAGCCGTTTCTGTATTACCTTTACTTAAGGACTCTAATATATGACATAAATATGCAAAAGCAGTAGAAGACAAAATAAATGATGACTTGTAGCTCTTAAAATTTAGACACCTATGTACATCAAAAGATTTCACCAAAATCAAGTAAAAAGAAGGTCCACAGACTGGGTAAAAAATGTCTAGCTATTATCAAGCATCTTAAGGCAATGCGGGCCTGGGACTGAGGACCATAGTGTCTGGGAACACAATGCTGAATTGGTATAACATAGTCTACAAAGGCAATGTTCTACATCCTACTTTGGTGAGTAGTGTCTGGGATCTTACATGCTCATGAGCGACCACCTAATGTGCCATTATTGGTCTCTCCATGTGTAGAAGAAAGAAGAGTGATGAGAATTAAAGATGCGTGGAATCAATTAGGCCAATGGACTAGTGGAACATGGAACATCAGTCTCTGCAACTCTGTGATGCCTGAGTAACACTACCAACTCCTCTGAAAGAGGATCACATTGGAACAAAACTAAAAATTATATTTAAAAAAAAGACTGGGTTGACTGGTGAGAAAGAGACTGGAGGAACCTGAGACTGTAGCCTTTGACCACCCTTCAGGTCTAGAAAGGAATTCACCTTGTTGGTCCAATTTTCAGCCAGGAAATAGATAAGTATATAGAGGAGACAACAACTAGTAAGGCAGTTTGGTCAGTCATTCAAGATCAAAAGGGCCACATTTATCTACGCTCAAAGTTGAGAAGGATGGGAAGTTGGGTGAATGGAAATAGGAGCCACAGGAAGGAAGTGGAATGGTTGTTGTTACATGGAGGGGATTGCACTCATTGAGAGGAAACAAAGTCTATGATGTGTGGAATGTAACATTGATGATCTTGTCTGTAAATCTTCACTCAATTCACAATCAAAAGTTAAAAAAATAAATGAGGTCTTATGCATCATCTCCAGAAAAGTTAAAAACAAAAACAAAAAGACTCCACAAAACCTTTTTTTACAGAATAGTAGAAAGGATGTATAAAAATGAATAAAAACTATAGGTCAACACCAAGCACAAAGCAGCCTGGTATAACTATCTTTCTTATTAACCCAGCCCTCTTATTAACCCAGCCCCTTCCTGTTAATAAGAACTCATTTGATTCTGGATGATATTGACACAAGTACAGTGTTATGAGTGAAAAAGATTATCATCAGTGACTTTCAATCGCTATTCAAATGCAATCACTTGGAATTGTCCAAGTGACAGTACATTCTAAGAGGGAAATAAACAAGGCAGATACCTGGGCTGTACAAATTGTGCTGGGCTATGAACAAAGAGTAACAGTTTGCATGTGTGCAACAACTCCATGTAAGAAAGACCTGCTGGGGCACTACTCTGGCTTCTAGAGGAGTCCGTGTGAACGTTGTGGGATCTGCAAATGAAACTCCTGAAATCTCACACAAAGTAGGAGATTGGCTTTGGGACGTCTACCGCTGCGCCACTGATAAGAATGATTTCCAGAGAAACTTGATCCTCAGTTTGGGACTTTTTGCTGCAGGAGTTTAGCTGGCCAGGAGCTTGAGTGACATTGATCTAATGCATCCCAGCTAGGGGTGTAGCCACCCAGACACATGGAACCCTGCGCTGTACCCAAACCTTCCAAAAACAACCTCCAGTTCTGTGACCACTACAAGATTTTCCCTGAAGTCAAGTGACACTTATTCAGCTAGCCCCTTTCCTTCTCTGTCGGCCTGCCTTTTCTTTGTTGGGTCCACTCAGAACTGTGCTTTCTGGTCAGTAGTTAGGCTTCAGCAAAGTGTTGCCTGCTGTTCTATAAAGTTGTGTACACAGCTTCTAAGTTTTTACAGGGGTGATCTTTGTTTTTGTCTTGAGGAGTAACTTGAAATAGTATTTTGTAAGTACTTGAAATAAAGAATGCACACAAACACACAGAAAGAAAGACCTAGTGATCTACTTAAGATTGTTGTTGTTGTTAAGTGCTATTGAGTTGGGTCTGACTCATAGTCACTCTGTATAGGGTTTTCTAGACTGTAAATATTTGCAGGAACAGAAAGCCTCATTTTTCTCCCCTGGGGTGACTGGTGGACTTGAACTGCCGACCTAGTGGTTAGCACTATCCTACAAAGCCGCAATACTCCCCACTTAAAATTGTAGTCGTTAATAAGTGCTGTCGAGTCAGTTCTGACCCATAGCAACCATAGGGTTTCTGAGGAGTGGCTGCTTTCCAAAGAGTGGCTGGTGAGCTTGAACCACTGAGCATACAGGTCAAACCGACCTTGCAGTCCAGTGCATTTACGCACACCAGGACTCCCTACTTAAGATTACAGCCATTGAACTGTGGAAGGAGCAATTCTACTCTGAAACAAGTGAGGTCACTATGACTCAGAAGTGATCCAATGGCGGTTATTTGTTTCCTCAATGACAAGAAATTTGAAATATATTCAAAAGAGAATTAAGAGATTGGAGTAAGATAAGAAACTTGAGATCTGTGTCATTTAAGGAATAGTTTAAGGACATACAGACATATACTCAAGAGAGAAAGTGATATTTATTTATGAAAGGAAAAAACTCAGGGTAGTCACCATAGCTGCTTTTTTTTAAAAAAATTGAAACTCTTTTAAGTAGAAAAGATTTGATATTTCTATACCATAAACAGATAGATCTATGAGCAAAAATTTATGGATGATTAATTGTGATTGGGTGTCCTGGCGAGGCACTGCAGGATAAGCACTAACTGCTAATCACGAGGTCATTGGTTCAAAACCTTCAGCCACTCCTCAGAAACCCTATACTGGGCCACTGTGAGTCAGAACCTACTCTACAGCACTTCATAGCAAACAACAATTGTAATTCAGAGTTCAAGGATCAGATGGCCCATCTGGGAGAGATTCTGTCTTGTCTTTTTGGAAATATCACTTTCATCCTAAATGACCAGTTATTAGAACTCTGTAGAACTATAGGACATAGTGATCATTAAGGGTTTTCCATTGCCAACTGTGTGCAGCCTTCTAAGGCCAGTGACTGTTGTCTTCTCTTTGTAGACCTACCAGGGCTCAGATATTGACATCTTTACATTTGGAAACCCTCTGAATACGGCTGCACTTTTCATCATTCTACTCCATCTGATCATTGAAAGCAAGAGTTTGGTGAGTGGTTTTTCTACTGCTGAAATAACCTGAAACTCTTTACATTTGAGGAAATGTCTTCTATTACTAATGACCTCGGTAAGACCTTCATGCCTAGAAGACAAGCAGTAATGATTCCGTGGAAGAAGGTGACGCTGTTTTTCTCGTTGATCATTGAGTGCCATTATGCTGAGGTTGATATATGGCAGAGAAATCACAAAATACCTTCTGGGTCCCTTCAGTGGTAACGATGGATGATGGTTCATGGAGGCATGAGTCAGGCTGGGGAAATAGTCCCCCTCCTGTGGTCACCATTCTTCCAGACCAAGCTAATGCCTTTCAACTCAAATAGAAAGAGGCGTTGTACCATAATCTTGTTACGCTGGCTTAAGTGAGATATGACTTATGCCTGTGATCTCATAGGACAAAAATGTACCTCTTTCTTCCTCCAGAATTTCTACTTTTCATTTAAATGTGGGTCTTTTTAAACTTAGTTTTTTACTTAACTGATAAAACGTAAGCCTTTTGATCAAAATAACTGTACTATAGCAATGCTAATGTGTAGGCCTCAGACAGTGAGCTGTATTGTCAATCTCCCTTTGCAGATGTATACATCCCACCTTTGTGATTGTTTATGACACTAACTCCTTTCCAAGGAGCCCTGGTAGTGTAGTGGATTACAAACTGGGCTGATAACCGTAAGGTCAGCAGTTCGAAACTACCAATGATTTCACAGGAGAACAATGAGGCTTTCTGCTCCCATAAATATTTATAGCCTATGCAAGGTCGCTATGGGTCAGAACCAACTCCATGGCTTACCAACAACAACAACACTCCTTTCCACTGTCATTACCTCTGCTGTAGTCCAAGCCTCCAGCATTGCTCCCTGGGCTATTGCCATAGACCTCCTACTCTGTCTTCCACTTCTACTCTTGGCCCCTGATAGTGACCAGAGTGATCTTTTAAAAAATACAGACTAGATCTTCTCATTCTCCCTTATGTGCTTTCCCATTGATCTTAGAATAAAATCTCAAAGACCTGTCTGACCTGTATGGACCCATACAATGATTCCCCTACTTCTCTTGCCCCCTTATTTCCACTTATTCCAAGAGTGGAACCACGCTATCCTTCTTCCAATTTTTCAAATGTATTGAGCGCATTATGTTGCCAGGGTCTTCTCAATAGTTATCATTCCTTCTAGTGGGAATGTGGGAAGATTCCTAGCCCCTTGCTCCACTGCTCTTAAAGAAAAAAGCACACAACTGAAAAAATGAAGTGCTGTTGAGTTGAATTTTGTTACTTAAGAGTTTTCAAGAGCTAATTTTTGGAAGTAGGTGATCATCCTTTTCTGCTGAGGTGCCTTTGGTAGCCTTGAACCTCCAACTTTTTGGTCAGTACCTAATGTTAGCTGTTTGTACCACCCAGGGACTTCCTGAGCTCAAATGTTTCCTTGGTAGTTGTTGTTGTTAAGTGCCATGGAGTCGGTTCCGACTCAGAACGACCTTGTATAGGGTTTCGGAGGAGCAGCTGGTGAGTTTGAACCACTGACCTTGTGTTTCAAAGTGACCTTGCAGTCCAGCAATGCTCCTTCAGCACCGCTCCAGAACTCCAAGTGTTTCATTAGATTCCACCAAAAATGTTCCTTCCTGAGAGCCCTTCCCTAACTATCCATTCTCTCAAATCCTTCTTTTGATTTTATACATAACTCTAATAATAATTTTGGTGTTCTGGTGTGCCGCTGTGGGTTAATGCGCTGCACTGCAAAGATGGTTTGAACCACAAGATCGGTTGGTTCAAGCTTACCAGCCGCTCCTTGGAAACCCTATACAGGGTCGCTGTGGGTCGGAACTGACTCGATGGCACTTAACAACAACAATGATAATTTTAGTTATATATTTAATTATGCTCTTATTTGATTCATATGTAATTTCTTCACTAGACTCTACTCTCTATTCTAGCAGATTTCATGCCTATTTGCTCCCAGTGTCCAAGACAAGATGAGTACAATAATACTTAAAAATATTTCCATGTATAAATAAACGAATGACTCACTAGATTTGGGGGGTATATTTACCATCCTGGAAATGAATGCATTTCATACAAGAAATAATATTTATTTTTAGTATCCTTTGCTTTGTTTATAATTTGCTATACCCATCCTTAGAGTCCTGGTGTAGTGCTATAGGATAAGCATAGGGCTGCTCACCACAAGGTTGGCCGTTCCAACCCACCAGCCGCTCCTTGGAAACCCTATACAGGGTTGCTCTGAGTCAGAATCAACTCAAGGGCACTTAACAACAACAACAACATAATAGCCACTTTACAATCCCAAAGCTAGTAAAAGGATAGTATCTGCAAATATCAGATGAGTTAACTAAAGAGTACTTTTTTTTTTTTCATGTTTTTTTGTGGATTATGTGATACTTTTACATGGGAGAACATTAGCTTTGCATTCATCCTGTTGTATATCGTTTCATTGCCATGATTACAATCCCCTCCATGCATCATCAGACAACCAAAGGGTATACCCTGCAAACCTGTCTGACCCCTAGTCATCAGCACACAGCCTCTCTCCCTCTCTGGATCTAAAGTCCCCAGCCACTCCATTTCTCCATGCCATCATCTCTGCCTTCATCACTGGCGTCACTACTTCTCTGGATAGGGTCCCACTCTCCCCTTTTTCCCCCTTGAAGATCCCAGGGACCTCTGCTCCTAGACTACAAAGTCGGTCACTCCCCTTCTTTTGCTGAAAAATGTCTACCTTTACATTTCCAACCCTCACAGTCAGTCCTGATAACAATTATTCACTACTGTATCACAAGAGACCTATCCGCATCTCCTTTCATCAGTTCTGCACAGACAGACTGGATACTACTCAGTGGAGATTCTACCTTCCTCCACGACCTCTGAATCTAGGCTCCCTCTTGAAAGGAGTATCTGTGCGCATGCGTGGCAGAAGAACCTACCAGTAGTGGGGGTGGGAGGTCCACTCACGCAGGCATCCCCTGTAGTCACCAGAATGGAGGTGCACAAACAGTGGTGGGGAGGGGGGGGCATTGATTGGTTCCCAAAAAAAAAAAGAAATTCAGAAAAAAGCAAAACCGACAAAATGTATTGTTCCACCTTTTCTCTGAGATTCCCACCACATTTTTCCGTGGTGTGTCTGCTCCCCTGTTTAGCCTTGCCATTTGGTCTCGCCCAATTTGTCAGCTCTAGGCCATCTAGTCAGGCAGATTCAAAAGTACTCGATTCCTTACTTCCACTGTAAGTTCCACTAGCTATAAGCCTTCAAACTTTTTAATATTCCTACTACCTACGTGGTTCTGAGTTTTGGAGCTCTGCAGTTCTGAGTTTTGGAGCTCTGCCTTGAATCTGCTTTGCCTGGTGTTCTGTGATATTGCTGATGGCGAACCTCATTGCACCTCTACTCTTGCTGCCATCAAGACCCACCTTCCTCATATATCAGCTAAAGGGAATTTTTAAAGTGAAATATATGTGTGCTTTAAAAAAATTCATTTTAAGTTTAAGAAATTGTATAGGTACTTTTGGTTATCTCCTAAGGAAGTGTCTTAGGTGCCAACATTTAGTAGTGTTTAGAAGATCTATTACGTAAATAAAATATGTCAGTCAGTGTTTGCTGGTTGTGAGCAATAGTAACTAATCTGGATGAAATATTTTACAGTATACTGAAGGAGAAGCCAAATAACCATAGTTGAAATTTTGAATGAGGAATGAAAGTGGTTCTGGAGATCCAGGGAACAGACACTCATGAGTAGCCTTGTCAGGATGGAACCCTGAGCTGAAATGATTCCAATCATTTTCTTCCTGCTTTTGCTTCAGTTTGTTCAAAGTTTAGTCCCTGGTAACGGTAGCCTACTGTTATAGCTTCAGTTATTGGCTTTGGCTAGAAGATAAACCATCCGTCAAAACTACATACCGTGCTGGATGCCATTGCCAAAAATAAGGCGAATGAAAGCTAGATACCTAAAACAGCATTAACTGGTATGTAAGGGACACACCATCCAAGAATTGTTTCCAGAAGCATAGGAGGTATAACTTGACCTCACAGCTTCTATGACCCATCACCAATAAGAGGCAGCCCTTCTGAGACTGTGCATCTGTTTTCCTTCATGTTTTGGGGCTCCTGTCCTTCATGCTCATCCTCACTGCCCACCTTCCTGCTCGATTTTATTCAGGTTGTTCATTTTCTTTAATTTGCTGCGTCAGTTCATTCAATGGGTAAACTTTTTAGAGCCACTCACTACTTCACTTGCAAAGGCAGCTATATCTTGGTGGTGATGGTGGTTACGTGCCGTGGAGTCGGTTCTGACTCATAGTGACCCTATGAAGTGTTTCCAAGGCTGTAAATCTTTACTGAAACAGAAAGCCTCATCTCTCTCCTGCAGAACTGCTGGGAGTTTTGAACTGATGGCCTTGAGATTAGCAGGGGTAAAAATTAGGCAGTTAAACTTCAAAGGGAAGTAAATGAAAAAAGGAAGGGAGGGAAGGAGGAAGAAAGAAGGATCAGAAGGCTAGTGTTAGAGACATGATAATCAATGATTTACCCCAAATTTTTGAACAGTTGATATATTTTATAAAATGCGAGTATTCTTTCTGAAGGTACCTCCATGGAGAAAAAAGAGACAATGGAATTACCTTTGAACATTGTAACACTAGAAAATCAAAAGGACTAAATAAAGGCAGTCTTACCTGAAAATGCTAGACATACACCGCCAATGACAAGCAAGTTTTAGGTGGTACTGCTGCACTAAACAACATTGAATACATTTAATTATGTCAAAGAAGTCTATCTGGTGCTATTATGTTTGATCACAATGTTGTCAAGTTGCTGTCAAATTGATTCTGACTCCCGGTGACCCCATGTGTGCAGAGTGGAACTGCCCCATAGGGTTTTCAAGATTATCACCTCTCAGACGCAGCTCACCAGACCTGTCTTCCAAAGCCTCTCTCCATGGTTTAAACTGCAGACCTTCAGGATAACAGTCAGGTGCTTAACTGTGCCACTCCAGGACTTTCATCACTATATCTCTTGCTAATTTCCCTTTATGACAAATACAGATCAGACCCCAGCCCTCAGAGCTCTTGTGGCAGGGGTGCTGGCATTACATTTAAGATGATAATATGTGCTTCTTTTTCAATCAAGTGGCTTAGTGAAGTAGTGAACCAGTTTTTTTTTTTTAAATGTTACTGAAAATAAGATTATAAGGAATATGTTTCTTGTTAGGTGCCATTGAGTTGGTACCGACTCATAGCAACTCTATGTACAACAGAACGAAACACTGCGCTGCACTGTTGCCACACTTGAGCCCACTGATGATGCCACTTTGCCAATCCATCTCACTGGTGGTCTTCCTCTTTTTCTCTGACCCTCCACCTTACCAAACATGTTATCCTTCTCCAGCGACTGGTCCCTCCTGACAGTATGTCCAAAGTATGAGAGATGAAGTTTGGCCATCCTAGCCTCCAAGGAGCACTCTGGCTGCACTTCTTCCAACACAGATCTGTTCGTTCTTTTGTCAGCCCATGGCACTTTCAATATCCTCCTCCAACACCATAACTCAAAAGCATCAATTCTTCTATGGTCTTCTTTATTCACTGTCCAGCTTTCACATGCATATGAGGTTATGGTGCACTTTAGTCTTTAAGCTGACATCTTTGCTCTTCAACACTTTGAAAAGGTCTTGTGCAGCAGATTTGTGTAATGCAATATGTCATCTGATTTCTTGACTGCTGCTTCCATGAGTGTTAATAGTTAATCCAAGAAGAATGAAGTCCTTGACAGCTTCAATCTTTTCTCCATTGATAAGAATGTTGTTTATTGGTCCACTGTTGAGGATTTTTGTTTTTTTCACAATGAAATGCAATCCATACCAAAGACTGTGGTCTTTGATTGTCATCAGTAAATACTTTAAGTCCTCTTCACGTTCAGCAATATGTAGACATATCCAAAATGTTAATGTGGTATGTTGCATCTGTTGGAGTCCTGGTGTGGTGTTCTCAGATAAGTGCTATATTACTAACCACAAGGTTGGTGCCTCAAACCCACCAGCTGCCCCTTGGAAGCCCTAACAGAGTCATTATAAGTTGGAACCAACTCAATAGCACTTAAAAACAACAATGATGTATCTGGTTTAAACTAGATTATAGTTACAGTTAAAAACAACAGAAGACCTCATGACACGACAAAGATTTATTTCTTTTTCATGTAAAATCTCTGAAGGTCTAAACAGCTCTACAATAATTATCCTCTTCCACAGACTTATCTTGGAGCTGTCAAATCCACATTTGGACTTCTTTCTCAGCATGCGGGGGGGTATGACATGGAAAATTGTTCATGCTTGCACTTGAAAGTTTCAGATATTCTTCCCACGCTCACTTTATTGTTTAAAGCAATTGTTGTAAAGTACCATCAAGTTGGTTCTGACTCATAGTGACCCTCTATAGGCTTTCCAAGGAGCAGTTGATGAGACTTGAACCGCCAACCTTGTCATTCAAACCGACCTTGCAGTACAGCACATTAACCCACAGCACTATACGACCAGGACTCTGTTCATGGCCATGCTTAATTTCAGTGAGGTGGAGAAATACTATAGTCCCATCAGAAGAGGGGAAGAACAACAATATTGATGAGTAGCAGTTACATCCACCACCTGTGTGTATGGCTAAAGTTTAAGGATAAGTGGATTTAGATATTTCCATAAGGAAGAAACAGAGCAAGAAAATGAAAAATAAAAGAGAGAGAAAACAATCTGAACCCCTTATGCATTTACAATGCAGAGTAAACTCACTCATTGCCTTTAGTCAATTCCTCCTCATAGAGTTCCCCTGGCTATAATCTTTACTGGGAGCAAAATTAACATCTGAGAGCTTAACCACTGAACCACCACCAGGGCTCCTTTGAATGAAATTAGTCGACAGACTTCCCTTTTAGCATTTGGATTCATTTTATAGATTACAGCCAGTGATGCAGGCTTTTCATGGGCCTCACCTACCTTATCTCATCATAATTTGTGTTTTGGTTTTATGTGTTTGTTTAACAGAGTTGCAAAACGCTATGAGAATGTGCTCAGCTTCCCCTATTTTTGTCTTACAGACTTGGATCCACATGCTGGTCATCGTCGGTAGCTTTTTATCTTATTTTGTCTTTACCTTGGCTTTTGGAGCCATGTGTGTAACTTGTAACCCACCATCCAACCCCTACTGGATAATGCAGGAACACATGCTGGATCCACTATTCTACTTAGTCTGTGTCCTCACGACCTGCATCGCTCTGCTACCCAGGTATGATATTGGCTTTATAATCAAGAACATAAATGCAGCTCACAGACTGGTGAGTTTGAACCTCAATCATTGCGGTTCAAACTGACTTTGCAGTCCAGCACATTAACCCACAGTGCCACACCAGCACGCCACCCTCATTAGCCATGGTTGTTATTGTTGTTACATGCCATAGAGTCGGTTCCGACTCATAGCGACCCTGTACAGGGTTTCCAAGGCTGTAAATCTTTACAGGAGCAGAAAGCCTCATCTTTCTCCCACAGAACAGCAGGTAGTTTCGAACTGCTGACCTTGCGGCTCGCAGCCTGATTCGTAACCACTACGCTACCAGAGCTCCTTAGAGGGATCTAATTTAAAACAACAATGAAATATCTCACCTCAACATTTATATCAATGTTCAAAAAGACAGAAAATAATAGATGTTAGAGAAGGAGCTCTGGTAGCATAGTGGTTAAGAATCGGGCTGCGAACCTTAAGGTCAGCGGTTCAAAACTACCAGCCGCTCCGCGGGAGAAAGAGGAGGCTTTCTACTCCCGTAAAGATTTACACCCTCGGAAACCCTGTACAGGGTCGCTATGAGTCGGAACCGACACGAAAGCACTTAACAACAAGAAGAGAGGGTGTGGGATAACTGGAATCATCAGACACTACTTCTGGGACTGCAAAATGGTGCATCCACTGTGGTAAGCAATATGGCACTTTCTCAGAAAGTTGGAAATAGGAATATCACATGACCCAGCCATCCCTCTACTTGGTATATATCCTAGAGAAATAAGAGCCCCAATACAAATAGATATATGCACCACAATGTTCATTGCAACACCATTCACAATATCAAAAAGATGGACACAGCCAATGTGTCCATCAATGGAAGAATGAATAAACAAACTTTGGTACATACACACAATAGAATACTATGCAATGTTAAAGAATAGCAATGAATCTGTGAAACACCTTATAACATGGATGAACCTGGAGGACGTTATGCTGAGTGACATTAGTCAATCACAAAAGAACGAATATTGTATGAGACAACTATTAAAAGTGAAGAAAGGGTTTTCACTCGAAAAGAAACATTCTTTGATACTTGGCAGGGCCTAGAGGGAAGACAGAGTAGTTCACTGGGTAAAGAGTAGACACATGTTAACTTAGATGAAGGGGAAGGCAATAGACTGAAGAGAGAGGTTGGCAGATGATAAAGGCATGGGAAGTTGCAGGAAGGAGTGCAAGAGTTAATAGCAATACAACTAAATACTGTTTGCATACAATCGTATAATAACAATGATCTACTGGAGAGTACATGCATAGTTACACAGGCTGAATAGATGTGGGAGGGAACATACCCACAAACTTGCAAAGGTTTGATAGAAGATAGCTGCACATGGGTATTTACCTTTGCTGCATGCCTATCTGTGAATATGCTGGAGCATACATGGGCCAAAGTTGTGAAAATGTCTTAGACATTACCAAACACTTGAGGGAATGGGTTGCTTGGCCTGGGAGCACAGGGCATCAGGGTCAGTTCACATAAATCGTCCACAAAGACCGTTGTGCATATTCTACTTCAATGAGTAATGACTGTGATCTTAAAGTTCATGAGCAGCCATCTTAAGGCACAACTATTGGAGCCTCCCTCTTTGGAGGAAAGAAGAGTAATGAAAATTGAAGTTGCTCCAAAACAATTAGTCCAGTGGACTCATGGACCACGTGAGTCTCCACAACCCTGGGTACAAACTGCTCTAAAAGAGAGCATATTAGAAGGTCTTAGATAGAGTGAGAGAAAATGTGGAGTAAAACTCAAAAACATAAAAAAAAACCAACAACCAGGGTTACTAGTCAGATAGCTACTATGACCTTTGATCATCTTTGCGGTCTGGAAATGGACTCATCCCCTTGGTTCCATTTTCAGCCAAACAACAGATAGGCCATAGGGGAAGCAGTGAGCTACACACACCATGTAAGGAATGGTCAGAGATTCGAGATGAAAAGGGCCGCATTTACCCAAGGACAAGATTCATAAGGGTTGTGGAAGAAGGAAAAAACATGGGAGGAAGTGGGCTAAGTGATGTTACATTGAGGGAATTGCAGTCATTGAGATGAAACAAAGTGTCTGATTTGTTGAATATAAACCTATGTTTATATGTTCTTTGATGACTTTGCAGTCCAGCACATTAATCCACAGCACATTAATCCCCTATAAACACTGGACCTCAAGATCTGCTCTGTAAACCTTCACTCAATTCACAATAGAAATTAAAAACAAAAAACAAAAACCTGTCTGCTTTACTTGTGTTCTCTCATTTACCTCTGTAGCAACTATGGCCGTCTCTACATTTACAGATTATTTTTTAATTTTACTTACATTGTTGTTATTAAGTGCCATTGAGTCTGTCCTGACTCATAGTGACCCTATGTAGGGTTTCCAAGGAGCAGCTGGTCAGTTTGAACCACCAACCTTGCAATTCAAATGACCTTGTGGTCCAGTGCTTATAGCACATCGAATGCTCTAAATCATTTACAAATGCTGTGTATTTAATATTGTTAGCTCCCTTTTATAATTCATATTTTTCTTCCCCTTTACCTAAAGATGGCAAGTGGACACCAGAACCTTTAACTTTTTCTGGGTGGGGGGTTTATGAATGTCTCCTATGATGCATTTGATATTTATGTAATTCTACGATGCTTTTTGTATCCTAGATTTATGTACCGAGTTCTTCAGGGATCCCTGTTTCCATCCCCAATTCTGAGAGCTAAACACCTTGACAGACTGACTCCAGAGGAAAGGACTAAAGCTCTAAAGAAGTGGAACGAAACTAATACGTTGGATCGGACAGTATTGAAATATGCTGACCACTCAGCTGCCAAGGCAGGGAGAAGACTCATGTCTGGCCAGTCCACTGTCTCTGCAATGATGTCAGCAGCTTCTTGTGTTGTTGAGCAAGGAAATACATCTATATGTGAAACTGCTTTAAACTCAGACATGCCTCAGACCTTAGAGATGGCTGGACTGACCACCAAACAGTTAAGAACACAGGATAGCCTTCTCAGCGTTGCAAATACTCCTTCAAGTTTGGTAGAGAGACTTTGAGGATGTACCATTCGCAAGCAAGAATAACTTGGATTTTACCTTAAGGAAAGTGAACATTTCGATGGGGTTAGAAAAGTCATTCTGAAGGCTGTATTATATACTTGCAGATACATTTGTAAAAAAGAAAGAGTTTGATATGTATAGATTTTTGGAATGAACTATTTCATTCAGAATCAAATGCTTTTATGAAACTTTTTGGATTTTGTAAAAGTATTTTCATCATCTTAGACATTAATCTTTTACACAGGGATTCATTTGAGATACACTTATTGTAATGACAGATGATCTTGATTCTTGAGAAATGCGTAACGCGAGTAAGCTCCCATCTGATTTTTTTCTTAATTAAGAAACAGAAAAGTGGAGGGGGGAGTTAAATGGATTGGTTAGAACACAGAGATTTCCACATGGAAAATGTTAGAAATTGTTAATTTCCAGATGAATTCCCAAGAATCTTTTAAACATCAGTGTACCAAAGCTAGGGTAATAATTGTTCTATTTAAAATACAGTCAGTGATCATTAATAGCTTTTTATTTCCTTTGAAATGCCTTTGGTCTTCTGTCAAGACATTAGGCAGATCTCTCTCATGTCAGTTTTGTCAGCTAGAGTCTTTTGTCAGGAAGGGGCAGAAAGGGTACTAGGGTGCCATCTGGTACCAAGAATATGTTCTTTCTGATTCCAGTCAAGAGAACAAGATCTTTCATGTGGCTTTCTCTGCATAGATCTTCTGCATTGGGAAACAGAAGTCATAGACCAGGCAGATAGATAGAATCGGCTGAGCTCCAGCCCATTTGGAAATACCCTGTTTTCTAAAAATGACAATAAGAGAGTGCAATAGTGGTCCATAGGATAAGTACAGAACTGTGAACCACAAGGTTGGCAGTTTGAGCTTACTTTTCGCTCTGCAGGAGGAGGATGAGGCTTTCTCCTCCTGCAAAGATTTACAGCCTCAGAAACCCAACAACTACAAAAAACAAAAAAAAACCTGTCAATATCCCCCTACACCATCCCCCGTTTTCTGCTGAGTCAGTTCCAACTCATAATTACCTTAGTAGGTATGTGGGTGGTGCAAAACATTTGTGTTTATTACCAAAATGTTGTCAGTTCTTAAGTAGCTAGTCGCATTGTGGAAGAAAAGTCTAGTGATCTATTTCCTTAAGATCACAGCATTGAAAATTCTATGGAGCATAGCTCTCTGTGAAACTCATGGAGTATCCATGAAACTGAATATAACCTGATCAAATGAGACAATCAATATTAAAGCAATCTTCAAAAAACCATGTGAGGGATCATAGTCTTTACACTTGGAGTCTTCGTGTGGTGCTGTCCTATAAACACTGGACTGCAAGGTCTGTGTGAACCACAAGGTCAGTGGTCCAAACTCACCAGTTGCTCCCTGGAAACCTTATACAGAGCTGCTATGAGTTGGCCCCTACTTGATGGCACTTAACAATAGTACTGTGGCCAGATCTGCGGCAAAAGACATCTTTTAAAGTATTAAAAAGCAAAGATATCACTTCAGGGGTTAAGGTGCCTCAGATGCATGTGAAAGTTGGACAGTGAATAAGGAAGACTGAAGAAGAATTGATGTCTTTGAATTATGACGTTGGTGAACAGTGTTGAATATACATACCATGGTCCACCAGAAAAACAAACCAATTAGTCATAGAAGAAATACATCCAGAATGCTCCTTAGAGACAAGGTTGTATATTTCAGCTATGTTATCAGCAGGGACTAGTCACTGAAGAAAGACACCATGCTTGGTAGAGGCTCAGCAAGAGAAAGGAAGACCCTTAATGATATGGATTGGCACAGTGACTGAAAGAATGGATTCCAACAGAGCAAAGATTGTGAGCATGACACAGGACCAGGTAGGATTTTGTGCTATTGCACATAGTGCCACTAGGAGTCAGAGCCAACTTGAAGGCGCCTAACAACAAAAGTCTTACACCACCCTATAACTTCCATTGTATAGCCTCTGAAAAGAAAACTATTATGTACCAAAACTAACACAGGTTGTTCTCAGGAAATTTCCATGAGGTTCTTAGAAAAAATAGTTTTTTACTACGTTTTTAAGACAGGAATATCTGTCAATTTGCTGTTGCAAATCACATATGCTGAGTTTAGTTGGAGCAGAGAACATAGTTTATACCAAAAAGGCCAAGTATTATTAAAAAAAAAATAAAATGAAAAAGCATGTATTCTTGTTGAGTTTGTTTTTAAAATTTTTTGTCTCTACATCTGAAAATTACCAGCCACTAATCATCAGAACCGACTCGAGGGCACTTAACAAAGGAGCTCTGGTAGCGTAGTGGTTACGAATCAGGCTGCTAAACTCAAGGTCGGCAGTTCGAAACTACTAGCTGTTCCACTGGAGAAAGATGAGGCTTTCTGCTCCCATAAAGATTTACAGCCTCGGAAACCCTGTACAGGGTCGCTATGAGTCAGAACCGACTCCACGGTACTTAACAACAAAATCATCTAAAGTTTCCTTCATGTATCTCCTTGCTAATGTTCCCTGTCTCCATCAAGGTGGTGGTCATTATGTGCCGTGGAGTCGGTTCCGACTCATAGAGACCCTGTACAGGGTTTCCAAGGCTGTAAATCTTTTTGGGCGCAGAAAGCCTCATCTTTCTCCCACGGAACGGCTAGTAGTTTCGAACTGCTGACCTTAAGGGTTCGAAGCCAATAACCACTACACTACCAGAGCTCCTTACCCCAAGGTCTTCTATTCATCTGTTAATCACAGGGCTTTATCCTGCTACTCCTATCAGCTGCTCCTCAGAAACCCTATACAGGGTCCTGACTCAATGGCACTTCACAAAAACAATCTTAAAGTTTGAAAAATCCTGGATTCTGAAATACATCTAGCCCCTAAGAGAGACTTTTGAGTATGTATTAAGAGTTTGAAAAGTCTCATTTACAAGTGAATAATTCATTTTCCCCAAAGTATCCAAGCTGATAGGATTCATCACGTTTTGGTATTTTCTATATTTCCTTGAATTTTTAGAGTAAAAAAACCTGTATCATTACTTGTGACTGTTGTTGTTAAGTACAGTTAAGTCAATTCTAACCCATGCCTGTACAGGGCTTCCAAGGAATGCCTTGTGGGTTAGAACTGCCAACCTTGGGGTTAGCAGTCCAGTTCTTATCCTATAGCACCACAGCAGGACTCCTTACTCCTAGTAGCTAAGGAAAAATTATTGGTGATAAACATTTTGGTACATAATGTTACCATGAAATCTTTATAAACAATTTGGATGTTTACCAAAATGCACTCAATACATCGAAGACTCCTGCTCTTACCAAGGCTAAAGGTCTCATGGGACATTCCGCAGGTTACTTGAGACTATTAGCAAATCTGCTTTGAGGCTAATCAAAAATAAAAGAATAATTAAATAGAATAAACTATCACTGAATGTCTGTGAGCATGCTCCATGAGAGTGAGGTGTGACAAAAAACCCCAAATCAAACCCATTGCCACCGAGTCAGCTTCCAGACTGAATCTTTATGGGAGCAGATAGCTTCATGGTTCTTCTGAGGAGTAGCTGGTGGATTTTAGCTGCTGACCCTGCGGTTAGCAGCCCAATGCCTAACCCACAGTGCCATCGGGACTCCTTGGAGACCTATGACAAGTCTGTTTGAATCAGTGGAAGTCTGGGCATCCAACTGTAGCAAGTTATTAGTGGAAGAGACAGTATCCTAAGAATTGCTGTCCATGCCCCAGATTCATCGGAAAAGAAATGATGATGCCATTTTGTTTGTAATGAGGAGTAAAAGCAAGCACAATACGTACATTTTATTGAACATAAATTGGACAAGACTATACATTTTACATGAAGTGTGTAGCTACAACTCTAACAAAGCTGATACATGTGCTTAAATTTTCATACAATTGTGACTCCCAAGCCAGTTGCTGATATTCACATAGACTTATACAAACTACAGGGCAGGAGATCAGTAACACTGTAAGTTTCAAGACAATCTTTTGAACTTCAATTCTGTGTATACATAGAAAAGTGCAAAAATACATGTATAAAATTGCAGGAAATCTCTATGTGGACTGCTGAGGCAGTCCAGGTTGCTGATGGAGGTTAGTAGGACATCAAAAGGCAATTGGATACACCAAATCATTGCCTAATTAATTTAGATGTATATGAAGATTTGTGTGTTGAAGCTTTTAGTGGAGAATAAACACTAATTGCTTCTGAAACTGATGTGCATAAAAGTGGCCTAGTGCTTAAAAGCCTTTTTTTTTTTTTTTTTACATTTTGTTTTAATTATTAATAAGGAGAAATGGCAACACCAGGTGTTAAACATCCACTGAAGAAAATTACGAAAGGTGTTACTCCATGCAAAGTTTTATTATGCTTTGGGAGACATTTCTTTGACTTTGTTAGTGTAGGTCAGTGGTGCAATCATTTGAACTGGTCCTGCCAAGGCAACCACAGTGCCAGCCATCATATTGTTGTTAAGCGCCTTCAAGTTGTTTCCAACTCAGCAACCCTGTGTAGGGTTTCTGAGGAGCAGCTGATGAGTTTGAACCTCTGACCTTGTGATTGTAGTCAGTGCTTATCCTGCAGCACCGCACCAGAAGTTGATTAGCCACATCGCATTAGGGGGTGAGTTAATTAATATTGTTTTTAAGAGCTGTCAAGTCAGTTCCAACCCATAGCAATACTGTATAGGGTGTCTGAGGAGCAGTGAGTGAGCTTGAACCAACAACTTTGTAGTTCAACCTGACCTTGTCATCCAGTGTTTATCCTACAGTGCCACACCAGGCCTCCTGACCAAATATTGTTGTTGTTGTTGTTATGTGCTGTCGAGTCAGTTCCGACCCATAGCGACCCTGTACAGGGTTTCCGAGGGTGTAAATCTTTACGGGAGTAGAAAGCCTCATCTTTCTCCCGCGAAGCAGCTGGTAGTTTCGAACCGCTGACCTTAAGATTCGCAGCCTGATTCGTAACCACTACGCTACCAGAGCTCCTTTATAGAAGGCTA